ATATGGGTATACCTGAAAACTTCCTGGTGTGTTGCGGCACTGGCCGCCATTACATATTGTGTCATCCATGTCACACTCGTTAATATCCTTACAAGTCTTACCCGTGTCGTCCACTTCGTAACCGGAATTGCATATACAACGATAGTTGCCTATCGTGTTTTCACAAGCACCGTTGGAACATACTGCTGGATTTTGAGCGCACTCGTTTATATCTGACAAAAATTGTTATAAGTACAGTCGTGTAATCTCAGGATGCCTCAAAATCTCAAAATGCGGAAAATACAAACCATCACCGTTGTATGTCATCCCTGAACCCTGAGGGCAGAGCATTTTGAATTCTAAGCTATCGGGTGAAGGGCATTTAGAGCACTGCGAACCCCATCCTGGTGTCTGCCCCAGCACGCCGTACGAACAGCAACAACTGGATTTCGTCATGGGGGTGGTTAGGGGTTGCAGACACGAACCCTGTTGAAAGTTGGCATAACAAAGATCGCGGAGCGTATCTAAACATAAAATATAATTATGAACCATCAACCACGAAGACGCTTAACGGTTAGGGCATATAGATGATTTGTCGCCGTCATCGTCGAACACATACCCAGACATGTACGACCGTCGAGTCCCAAGTAAAAGCCGTCTTGACACTCGCAACGGTAACTCCCAGCCGTATTTATGCACTTGCCATTTTGACAAGGACCGCTAGTATTTGAACACTCATCGATATCTGAAATATAGACGAACAAACAAATATAACCAATTTGGAATTATTAATTTGTGATTGTATACAAGGCAGCACGCCTGTCTAAAGGATTCGGATTTTTTTCACTGAAATAACGTGTYGTGTTATATATAAGTATATATAGGTGCATCATAGATCTAGAATTTCTGGGTACAGTTATTATTATTATTATTATTATTATACCTATGCAGTTTTGTCGGTCTGGTGATAATTTGTAGCCGGAGTCGCAGACACATTTGTACGATCCTTCAGTGTTTGCACATTTTCCATTTCTACAAAGACCCGGTTTTTTTTCACACTCGTTTATGTCCGTGCAAAACGTTCCGTCCGGTGAAACCGTATATCCTGGCTGGCACTCACATATGTAGGAACCAGGGGTGTTTYGACACTTGCCATTGAGGCAAATTTTTGGGTTTTCATAACACTCGTCAATGTCTGGAAATGAAATAAACAATCGCTTAATAATTCGATAGCGATTAATTTCTAATATATTAATAATTGCCACATAAATAGAAACAACGGTATATAATGACTTTAAAACCWAAAAGGCTAAACGCTGCGCAATTTCATTTTTAGACAATATTACAAACATTATTGCACGGTGATCTAGGCATCTAGGCATCTATGGTATTTAAACGATTGCAATATTATTTTTAGGTATATGTTTTAATGGAAACGTAGGTATTTAGAAAATTATGAAGATTCCTTATAAGAGGAAAAAATTATTTCAATGCCTAGTTCATGTAATCATTACCTAACCAGCAACCATATTATGCAATGATACCATATAGACCATACAGCAAAATTACACAATTTTATCTATATTATTAGTATAAAGGTGCTATTGTGTTTCTCAGCAGAGAAGACGAACGTTGTAAAACGTAATTTTTTTATAAAACAATAACAGGCTAATATTCTATAAATTGTTGAAGGTTTATTTCAATCAAATAAAAAAATAATAATAATACCAATTATAATTTGTCACATTAATTTTTGTATTAAAAATTAAATTTGTACGTTGGTATACTTTCCGTTTTTAATAATAAATAGATAAATAAAAATAAGACGTATTACCTATGCACGAGTGGCCGGTTTGTGACATGACGAATCCCGACTTGCAGCGGCATTGGAAAGACCCCTGTACATTCAAACACTTTCCGTTCGCGCACATGCCGTTCTTCTCRCATTCGTTGTGATCTAAAAACGAATATTTATCGATTAGCGTGAAAAAAAGAAGTTAAACACCGGTCAGCGTTTAAGATCTGACCACGACAGTAGATCTGATTTACTCTGGAATTCATACCTATACAACGTTTTCCGTCCGAGGCCAAATCGTAGCCTGGCGGACAAGAGCATAAAAAACTTCCCGGAGTATTGTTACACTGCCCGTTGTTGCAGATTCCTTGTTGAGCGCATTCGTTGATGTCTGTGGCGTGGAAATGAAACAAAAAAAAAAAAAAAAA